TTCTGGTGGATCCTGGTGGATTCTGGTGGATTCTATGGATCCTGGTGGAATCTACGGCTCCTGGTGGATTCTAGAATCCATCAGGAGCCACCAGGAGCCGCTTTTCCCCCCTTGAAAAATGGTCTCGTCGTGGATTTATATTAAAGTCTATACCAGGGTGTGGGTGCCAGTGTAACAAGAGAGCTGCACCAACACCTACACCCACCATCGCCTTCAAATCATCACATAAAAATCCTCACATTCAAATCATCATGGTCATCATTGTTTGAGAGTTAATAATGTAAAGTGTAGCTGATGCATAATCATGATCAGCATCAACACTACTACATTAGATTCATCATGGTCGTCAGTCTCTTTGAGATAGTGACTTTAGGTTTAGGTTATACGCTTCATTGTTAGAGTCTTAGAAAAGTATCGTGGTCTTGCATTCTCGTTGTTGAGTGAGTTACAATTTTGTGTGGTGTGCGTGTTTGGTTTAGGGGTTTTGGGTATGGGTGTGGGTGTGTGGGTGGATTAAGACGAGACACACACCAGGATTGTTCTCTATTCAGCATAATATTGTACTGCCCTACGTGCCAGTCACAGTAAAGAGTACAAACGACTTTTTCTATTGAATACGGTAGACGCCCTGATGTCCTTGATTACTAGATACAATTGAAATCGATCCAACATTCAACATCGAAAGAATTCTACAGATATTTCAGCTGGCTGTCTGCCTTGATTTGCTTGGGTTTTATGAATTCCACGAATTCCTTGGATTTTTATAAATTCCTTGAGTTTCTTGGATTCTATGAACTTCTTGAGTTCGCTCTATTCTTGGGCTTCAATGAGTTTCCAAGTTATTCTTGTCGATTCTATGTTATAACGTTATGCTAGATTCCTGATTATCTTTTTGTAATTTATTTTTGAGTTATGAATTGCTCATGAGTTCAGAATTCACGGAATTCGGACACTGCTGTCCGGATGCTACGAAATAAGTCGATCATATCAAAATTTCTCACACGTTTACATCAATCTAAACGTTTCAATTTCTGCCGTAGCAAAATAACGTGAGCCCGTAAAAAGTGTTTTGCCTATGTCGGTTGTATCGACGTAGGTTTGTGGAAAACGACTGTGCGATTCGCTGTTAACATTCGAATTCGATCGCATACATATATCACCACTACCGAAACATGGTCCATGATCATCTCTATGAAGAACGGCTTGTGCAATTTGATCATTTCTAATTTTGAATTTTGTCGCTGGTATATGATGTGGATTTGTTAGTGTAAATAGATAGGCTGTTGAATCTTCTTTGGGTGCGCCGAATAGACTATCTTCAGGTGTCTTCCATGGAACTGTGGTGTAACCACCAAATAAATAGCCATCCTCCGATTGAATTACAGTAACTGTTGGTCCTTTATTATCACAGCAACGATGAAATTCTTCGCTATGAAAACCATTTCTTGTTCCTCTAAAGATTAATTCCCACTGTTGATTCAATTTACCATAGAATTCGTTTAGTTTACATTGTTGTGCAGATGATAATAGTGTACTTTGAGCAAATGGCGTCTGAGAAGATGGATCATCTATACTCGGCGGTTTCGCCTGATATGATGAAATATGAGCAGTAGTGGGGGTAAGAAATAATGGCTGTTCATTGAAAATATTGGCTGATTTTTTATGCCCTATTGAAGATGCATAGCTTTTTCTTGGCGGTTTTGAATGATATGATGAAACTGGAATAGTCGTGATGCCCGCTGCGCCATCTAAAGAAACAGAGAGCTAAGTGACAACTTTATTTCTCGTCATCCAATTTTGAAGAACAGTGCGAAAGTGTGCAGATTTATGCAAAAACTGAGTGAATGTAATCTCAGTTTGATTCTGGATTTAGAAGTTGAAAGGACCGATGCATAAAAGACTACTTTTCATTTCAGAACAACATCAGTTGTTGTTATCAAATTCGAATTTCTCATCGAGTTTTGAGTCGAATAAACATATTCGATTACCTGAAATCCTTCATCCTAATTAGCGCATATGAGGAATGGCACTATACTGAGCGTATAGACAGATGACTATCTGCCGCATATAGCCACAAGAGTAGATCTAGAAAGGTAGATAAGATTGAGCTGATTCTGAATATAAGGTTGGGTTTTGAAAAATAGCATATTGTCCGTTTCAAAATAAAATGTAGTCGGTTGTTTTTTGAATAACGTTTGATAGAAACCAGATAGGGACCTGCGGTTTTCAACATATAAAAGAGCAATGCTGGTGACATAAAATGATGCTAAGTTCGATTAGTCAGCTTTTAACCAGTCGGATCGTTTTTTTAAAATAGTTTTAAATCGGTCTTCTAGAACCATGTTTCACTCATTTTCAAATTGAAGATATCGATTCGACAGAAAGCGTGTGCTCTTTCAAACTGTACAAGGCCGTACTCGATAGCTTGTACTGTTCAAGATCTATAATCATTTTTCTGAGACGCCCGAAAACGGCCAGGTGACCTTCGATCATTCTAGAATGTATCGAGACTGGAGCAATTAGCTACGCAGCGTGGAGTAATGATGTTTGTTTTCGTTTCCAAAGTGATATAAAGTGAGAGAGTCAAGTTTTTCGTAAAGTCAGCTCAATACGCCTCTACCGGTGGAATGCTCGGTTTTCAAATATTCGCCGAACAATCTCAAATCACGTCAGAAATGAAAAAAAACATTTCAACTCGACTCGGCGTGGTCATAAAGTCGCCTATCGACCCATTTTAGAATGACCAGATGTCAGCTGACCGATTTCACGGCTCTTGGGAAAATGCTTATAGCTAGTAAGATCGGGTTTGCGCAGTTCGAAAGAGAACAATTTTTTCTACGGAATCAACACTTTTTCATACGAAATTGAATGGAAGATGGTGTTTAAAAAACTCCATGATTTTCTGGCATGTAGCTTATGTGAACTATTATTTCAAACATGAATGCCGTTACCGTAGATCACTTTGAAAACGAAAACGAACATAACCACCCGACTAAGCGCAACTGATTACCCCAGTGTCGACACATTCTAGAACGATAGACGGTCACCTGGCCAATTTCGAACGTCTTAGCGAAATACTCAAACAGAAAAAAAAACCATTCAAACCGATGCATACTTTTGTTCGCTGTCGATTGGCGATCCGAACGGTATATGAACGTTGTCAAAGAGTTTTCAAACACAGGAGTTGATGAGTTTACGAGAACAATGAGTAACTACACTATAACAAAAGGCGCTTTACCGAACCCCCCAAAAAGGTTCCGTAGATGTCTAAAAGTGTCCAAAGACTTGAAAAACAATCTTTCAGATCCACGCGATCTTTTTGGGGGTTCGATAAAATACCTTTGGTTTTAGAGTGTATGTCTCTTGTATAACTTACTCGGTCTTACTGGAAAAAGCTCTAACACAATACATTGAAATCTATGTAGGCACACTCATTTTTTGATGCTGAATCCGAATAAACTCGTTTAAAAACGTTAGAAAACATGTGAAGAGGCGAAGTCACGAGTTTTATTCAAAATAGTATTTTTCTCCCTTTTTCAGGCGCAGCAATATTTTGAGATTTTCTCAGCATAAACCTGATCGTAAAAGGTTTGAAAACATGTATTCTTGATCAGCTCGATGTGGTCTATTCAACCACGTATGAATCAAATCAAGTTTTGCTCCTTTTTTGCATTTCCGGCAACTTAATTACCATGTGATACACTTGGCGATTTCGTTGCATTTTGAAATGGTGGCTTTACCAATTCCATTGGTGGATCAATTTCTTTCAATTCTACAATGTGTAAGTTTGATCCAGCATCAATTTGACCAATAACTTCAAAGAATGAACCGGGCATTAAAATAATTTCTTTTTCAGTTGCACTATAGTAGGAATGATTTACAATTGATTTACCATTGACGCAGTGAATTGCAAACATTGTACGTACACCCGTCTTACCGAGAAATCGTGGTGATGTCAGAACGTCGATTGTTGTTGTACATGAACTAACACCCCACCATGCAAATCTTGCACCGGTTTCATATTTTTTTTGTAAATCAAGATCACGTACACCACGCCAAATGGTTGTCGCTGGAAGTGACGGCAGTTTGTATAAAGCTGTCATTAATAGTTTCAAAAACGGAAACCATGGTTTTATGTCCTGTCTCTGTTCAGATCTCAATATATGGTTGAGTATAACATATAAACTAACGCCGGATTGGAATTGCATTGTATACAAATGTATTGTAGCACTTTCATCTACCGTTAAACCATCATTGGGTTTTTGAGAGTTGTGCAGAGCAATAAGTACATAGTCTTCTAAGTCGATAAACAAATGTGAAATAGGTTCGACAGCTATCTTTAATGGTAGTAATGGTTCATCTTGATAACCTTTTATTGGTATGAGTAATTTTTTTACTGGTTCATTATTTACATCGGTATAACGTGAAATTATAAGGTTTGGTTCAGGATCTGTAGCCATTGTTATTTTTATTTCTTAACAAGAAAGTGAATGATCTCATTTTTTTTCTTCACTGGTACACAAGGTTTATTCTTGTATT